CACGTGCGCTCGCCAGACAGACAGAGAGAGACATAGAGACAGAAAGCGAGAAATCACCCCCCAGGGGGGATGGTCACGCCGCAATCCCTTCTCCTCCATTCTCCTCTCGGGATCTTGGGCACGCACGCACACGTGCCCGGCGTGAGTTTTAAGCCACCGGGTCCGGGACACGAACCGCGGTCAACTACGTGGGAATCCAGCGACATAGCCATTACGCTAACTGCTGGTTCCCTGAAACAGTGCTTAGGTTTTGAGTTCTGGAGTGAGACTGGGTCACATTCCAGTTCTGCAGCTTACAGATTGCAAGACCTTGAGCAAGGGACATATCCTCTGAGCACTGTACTTTCATCAGCCAAACACTGGGGACCACAGTATAGAATTTAGCACTCTGCTTGGCCTGTGGTAAACATGAAATAAACACTGGCTGTCATTATTATCATTATGATTGACATTACATTATAAGGGCCTCATCCAAACTTCATTAATTATTGGAATCATGTCAGCTAACATTTAGCTCTGTAACCTGAAAGCAAAAATAACACAAACATTCAGGATCCCTAGGGAAAGGCCCTGGCCAGATCTGGATGGAACACAGCACTGCCCCCTCTTCCTGAGCCGGTTGAGGAGGTCTCAGTCTCCCTTGAGACTAAAAACAGGGACAAATGCTTTCATTTCAAAGCCACCATTGGTGTTTGGCATTGTGGTGGGTGTGCGGGAAGAGGTTGGGCTGTAGTCGCCAGCAGCAGAGCTCCGTCTGGGAATGGGTAACGGCAAGACTGAGTTGGGGTCAGAGGAATGGAGAGGGACCGCTCTCCACAGAGGGGAGAACTGGCATTTCGGAGCTTGTGCAGGCCAGTTCGTGCAGGCACCACAGCCTGACGCTTTGTGGGGTTTGGCAGGCGGTAAAAGGGGAGGCCAGCAGGATATGAGACAAACCCTGTGTCCACTATGGTGTCTTTCTTTGACCTACTTTTCATGGAAACTTGGGCTCAGAGGAAACTTCTTACTGTATATTAAAAACACGAGAAGAGTGGTAATGAATAGCAGTGGCATGGGCAAGGGGCCTGGGAGCACCAGGAGGTAGAGGCCACGGCAGGAAACTGGAGGTCTTGTCCTGGCCTGCCCTGTCTCATCCTGGCCCGCCCTGTCTCAAGGGGCAGCTGCTGCGCAGGACTCTCCCACTGTCGGTCTGGGGGAGTGTAGGGTCACAGGGCTAGATCTTCTAAATCACCTGAGAGAACTTAGGAAGTAAGTTTGTGTGTGCAATTTCCTGGTTTTTAAATGTTAACCTTTTATTTTTTTGGGAAAAACAAACTTGTTTAACTTTCTTCTTTCACGTGCACGCATGAGAGAGAGACGCACCCTCTATACCGTCTTCTCTTGTCATGTCATAGTCCCCTGTCCTCAGTCCAGTGCTCCAGTTCATCAGGGCACGTGTGCATGCACGTGTGCAATCCCCTGTCCCTAGCCCTCCAGCTCTTCAGGGCACCTGAGCACATGTTTTTCTCAGGCCAACCCAGGGATTCAAACCCATGGCCAGCCATGTAGCTTTAACATTGCTATTCAGTTTGCTACCAAATGCACCACCTGGCTGGGCCTGCGTCTCATTTTGAAAAAACACCATGTAGACATTGAATCTAAGATAATATTGATGGTAAGATGTGCTGACATTTAATAAAGTACCACTTGAAAAACCTTGCCCATTAACTATGCCAGGCTATTCATTGAAAAATGAATCTCCATTTCAAACATGTCATGGTATGAAAAACGTACATCTTAGAATTCATGAATTATGGATATCAGTAGGCTGGACTTGGCCTGTGGCATCTTTGTGCAGCTCCCAACCTGTACCACTGTATACAGTGGCTTTTATGATGCATCCTAGGGCACTGGAGGGCTTAGGAGTCACCAGAAGGCTCATCCTTGGGTTACATCTATGAACTCCCAAGTCCCTTGAGAAGGGATCCTTTGATCTTTTTATGAACTAGGAGGAGCTAAGGCAGCAAAGAGGAGAACGTGGCCCAGCTTGCTCCATGGGCTACCAGATCACAGTGGCACCAGGGTCCCCGAGATGCTGGTTCAGTTGGCACTGGGTGGGACTTCAGAAGGGATGCTGATTCTTTTTTTTTTTTTTTTTGGAGAGGTTTTTCACTATAGGGCGTGTGCGCTCGCCAGACAGACAGAGACAGAGGGAAAGTGAGAAATCACCCCCAGGGGGAATGGCCATGCCGCAATCCCTTCTCCTCCATTCTCCTCTTGGGATCTTGGGCACGCACACGTGCCCGGCGTGAGTTTTAAGCCACCGGGTCCGAGACTCGAACCGCGGTCGACGACGTGGGAGTCCAGCGACATAGCCATTACGCTAACTGCTGGTTCCGGGATACTGATTCTTGCCAGGGATGGGAGCTACTGGGAAAGGCCTCACAGTTGCATTTATTGAGTTGTCAGAAAGGTCATGATGTATTTTTTTCTGTTTTTCTACGCAAAATTTGTCATGACTTTTCCTATAACACTGTATAGAGATGCAGAGAGGTAAAGGCTCTGGCCCAGTGTCAGTGGGACAGTGCAGAGCCAGGCCCGGGGTCTGACCCTCCTTACTCCCTTCCTCGGTGCCTTCTCCAGTTGATTGTAAATATTTCTGCCCTGTGTTCCAGGGAGGCTGGAGGCCAGGGTCTCTGGGTCTGACACAGCGTCCCTTGGTCATCCTCCCTGATGCTCTGGTTGCCAGGCCCACCCCAGATAAAGCACTCTTATTTGATTCACAAGACTTTTCGGTTTTATTAGTAAAATACAAAATGGCACAGACATTGGTGGTGAGGATTGGAAAAGCAAAAGGATCAACTAACTCCTTCCAAAGTCCTTTCCAGATTGTCCTTGTTCGTGTCCTGCTTGGAGGAACTAATGAAGTCCTTGAAGGGGGACCAATTGCCCCAGCAGCTTTCTCTCAAAGGAGGGGGACACCATCATTGGGTGCCCCCCTCCAAAGGCTCTCCCAGCCTGGAGGAGCCAGAAAAAAGTGCATTCAGATTTTCTTTCCCCCTCTCTGAGCCTTGAGTCAGGTCCTAAGCGTCCCAACATGTTGTGCACGCCCAGCACATGGATGTAAGGGGTGCCAGTTGGACCCTAGCTGTGTCTCCCTCTTCTGGGCATCCATCGTGAAGGAGTGTGTCACTGGCACCTGGGTGACGCCCAGCCCACAAAAGGCTCCTTATATGAAGGGCAAGGGTCACCCTTGGGGACAATCGGAAGGAAAACTGAGCTGCCACCAAGGACCCCTGATCAGGCCAGCCCTGTCACTTCCAGTGCCACACAGAGGTCCTGGGACTTCAGCTGCCACAAAGGGAACCCTGACTTTATGCCTGTATTTCCCCGCCCCACCGTGGCTATCCCCCCATCCCAGAACAGAGCCCTTTCATGAAGAAAAAACAACTCAGGACTCATGGAAAACGTCATAGCGATTTCTGGAATGAAGGGGAGGGGAGGAGATCCTGGAGTGTGGAGAAAGTGTTCTCGGGGAGTGAGAGAGGTGGAAGGCGAACCCAGACGGCGGCCCGTTGGGTCTGGCCACCAGCACAAGTCCCTAAAGCAGTGTCAGGAGTATGGCTGCTCCAAAGCTTCTAGTGGGCCCCATGTCCCCATCCCTCTGGTGGGGCAGAGTTCAGAGGAGGGTGCTGGTTGAGACAGGAAGGAGCCTTCAGAGCTGGCCTCTGCTCCCTCAAGTGCCCCCACCCAACCCCCATTGGGGGGCCCATAGGATACCGCCTCCAGACAGATCACTGCCTTGCAGGCTCCTCAGCTCACAGGGTCACAGAAGTACCACTCTAAGGGATTGGCTGTGACTGTTTAAGGGACTGTGCTGGTAACGATGGTGAGGCTGCGTCCAGGGGCTGAGGACAGGGCCTCAGGTAGATGGGTGCCGCTGGGCAGAAGTTATTGCCATGTCTTCCCTCTTGCTTTTCACAGATTGGAATATCTTGCTGGGTTAATGTTGGACCTGGGACTAGAACCCCAGCCCGCGGGCCCATAGCCAGTGTCCCTTCACTGCACACGTAGGCTGAAGAGGGAAACAATCACGTTACCAGGTCACCTCGTCTCCCCTCCCGAGATGCCTGACCGAGGACAGAGTCTTCGCTGGGAGTGTCCCAGGAAACACCACACTAGGCTCATGCAAGAAAAGACACTTCCCGGTTGGGGCGTGGGCTCTGTACAGGGGACAGGAGCGATAGCACCGCAGGTGGCCGGGTGACTGGCGACTGCAGCAGGACCAGGAGACATGATGAGGTCTGAGGGAGGGGGCAGGAGGGCCTGATGGGATGCTCATTTGTGAGATGGAGGAGCGAGGTACTCACAAGGAGGCGTGGGCCAGAGAGGGCCTGGCATTCAATAAATAATGGTCATCGGGGCCGGGACGGTGCCATAGGGAACCTCTAACTAGCCAGCAGCAGAGGCGAGTTTGTGGATTAGGGTGAGTTGGGAGACTACCCCCTAAGTCCCCAGAAGGTAGGAATGGTCAAGGGTGTGGCCTCCTGGGGCATGCCTGGGAGGTTGTAGAAGTTTGCATCTGGAGGCTCCAGCCTCCCCACTCCGATCCTAACTCAGGCCCTCGGGTGGGGATGCATGTAAGGTTGGGGGCCCCAGGCTGCTGTCTGAGTCCAACAACTGGCTGCAGGTGGTGGGCATCTCACACGGGCACCAGGACGTATGAGTTGCTGCCACAGCTCCGGGGGACATAGCGAAGGCCTTCCACCATCTCCCCTGCCATCTTGCGGGGGCAGCCCTGGAGACTCTGGTAGGCAAACATGGCCACTCCAAGGCAGAAGAGGAGGCCCAGGAAGGCCAGCAGCCCCACTGCCTGCCTCCGGGTGGCTGCTTGGGAGTCAGGGACAGGAGTGATAAGGACACCCAGCCTCTGGGGGTCTACAGTGGCGTGGATGGGTTCTTCAGCCTTGGAGGCCCAGCTGCCTGAGGCCACTGGCTCCCTGCTGGGGGTCCCCTCTGAGGAGATAGAGACTGCAGAAACATGGGCCATGCTGCCAGGCTCCCAATTCTGGGGAGCATTGGTGTGAGCTGGGATGGGACCCAGGGCCTTTGGCCCTAGTGAGCTCTCTGGCCTAGGGCTCTGTCCCTTGACCCACACAACTTGGCCTTCAGGCCCAACATTGTCCTCTGGGGCTAGGTGAGATATGGTGGGAGGCTGAGTGGAGAGGGCTTGGTTAGAGGGGTGCTCAGTGGAAGGGGCCTCAGTGGTCTCTCCCTCAGCCCAAAGCCCAGCCCCAGCTGGGTAGGCAGCAGAACTTGGCCAAGCTACGGTGGTGGAGACAGCAACTGTGGTGAAGAGCTCAGTGCTCTCAGGCGCAGCTGAAGACCCTCCATCCTGAGCCTTTGAAGTGGGGGCAGACCTGGTCTCGGAGGACTCAGTAGCACCCACTGGCAACTCTGGAGAAGTCTCCAGGGCCCTCTGAGCGTCCTGAGGCTTCTGGGAAGAAGGAGTCAGCTCCAGGCGACTGCTTTCCCTGGTGGCTTCGGGGTTGGAGGCCACAGATGCATCTATTCGCCTGGTGGCTGGGGTGGTCCTGGGTTTCACCTCGCCGATCTGCTTCTCGAATGTGCCGCCGTTTCGAGTCAGTGCAGTAGCCTGGCGGTCTAGGTGTTCCATAGCCTTTTGGACCCATTTCTCCTTCGGGTCAGCACAGAAGAATCTGTGTCTTCTCGTCTCCAAGCTACGAAGGAGGAAGACAGGGCCCCAGTGATGTCCAAATGCCAGAAGCCCAGGCTGGCATGGTGCAGGGTGTGAGGTCTCTGCTCCATAGACCACATTGCAAACCCAGCTCCCCACTAGGTAGCCTGAGCTTTGGGCAACTCAGCCTCTGGAGCCTCTGCGTCTTCTCCCGAGAACTAGAGATAGGATTGCCCAGCATCTGGAAGGTGACCGACCGCCCCAGAGACACTGGGACTTCAAGCTGCTCGGGATCAGGGACTTCCCATTTCAGACCTGGGAAAGTCCCACACAAACAGGGACAAGCTGGCTGCTCTCCTGCATTATTGTAAAACAGGTAAATTATATAATGCACTTGGGTCAGTAATTGCTGAAAATAATAGCAATGGCAATAAAAATATCATTGCCATTGAGGCAGACTGCTCTGGGCTGTCTCCCTATTCATAGGTTTCTCCAGTGTTCTCTGGTGCCAGGTGTGTGACAGGTGTGCTCTGTGGTGAGGCCACCTCGTTTTGGAAAGGACTCTGTCATCAAGCCCTATTTCTCTGTTCTCTTGGCCTCATGGCTACAGTCTGCCCTCCGGCCCCTCCTCTACCCTTTCAGAGTGTGTTCTCAGGCCGGAGGGCCTCCTGGTGAGCTAGAGTCTTGTAGATGGTGACCCTGTTGGGGCCCCGAGTGCCACCCAGTGCTTGAGCTTCCTCTGAAGCTGGGTGTGGCTGGTTCACCCTGAGACCCGAGCTCAGAGTTAACTGGAGTCCTTGCTCCATGCCATAGCCCATGCTGGGCATCTTGCCTGTGTTTATACCTCTGTGAAGTGGCCACCACGCTCATCTCCACTTTATAGATGAGGAATCTGAGGCTCCAAGGGGTAAAGTCATGGTGCCAGCTCCACTGTGCAGGAGCCAGAGCAGCCCAGGAGGCAAGCATGACCCTGCAGTCCCCTTGGGTGTGGTGACACTTCCCCTTCATCTGGAAAACGGAAGGAAATATTTGGGGGCTTCTGGGTGAAATGAGCTTTGGCCAGGGAGCTGAGAGGTTGGTCAGGAGCACGCTCCACCCCTTGCCCTTCTTAGAAACTGCGCTTGAGGAGAGGAAGCACTGGGCTTTGATCAGCTGAGCCCAGACTGTGAAAAAAACATCACTGACCATTTCCTGCTGCCAGGACCCTGGGTCTGGCGAAGCAGCCCTAGTCCCCACAAGTCCGTCCTGGGGACAACTTCAGGGAAGGGCCATTGGGTAGTACCAGGAGGAGCTCCAGGAGGGGCAAGCAATTGAGTTGGCCAGGGGTCCCCAGAGGCCAGTGAGAAAGCTGGTTCAGCTTGATCCCACCCCGAGTCTCACAGGTGCCCTGCATCATTGACTGTCAAGTGGGGGTAATGATCTCTGCAGCTTTTTTGTCTGGGGCTTCTGGGCACTCGGCCAAGGACTGCAGTTACAGTCTCTCTTCCTCCTCCCACTATCCATTTTATAGACCAGGAGACCAAGTGCAGAGGGCAAGCGATGTGATAGGACAGCCAGCTAGCTGGTAGGAGGCAGAGCCAGGATCTGCAGCAGGCCTGTTGGCATCGGGAACCACACTTTAAAACCACCATGATTTACCTCCCCATGAAATCTAGGGGGTGTGAGTGCGGCAGAAAACATGCCTCAGCACAGGAGGAACTGTTGCTCTCAGTGGCTGCCTCAGGCCGTAAGCTGGGTGTGGCTCCCCACCCCAG